CCGAAATGGATACATCACCCACGGACACAAGACCAACCAAACGCCCACCGATCGAAAATACCCCTTATTCGCTTTTCGGAGCAAGCGGGTCACCCTAGCGAGCCCCATTCAACCAGGGGCCCGGGCCCTATCCACACGGGGGCCCGGGCCACGTCCACCTGGGGCTCCGGGCCCCGTCCACCCGGGGCTCCGGGGCCCGTCCACCAGGGGGCCCGGGCCCCGTTCTCCCGGGGGCCGGGCCCAGTTCTCCCGGGGGCCGGGCCCCATTCACCCGGGGGCCCGGCGTCCACCCGGGGCCCGGGGCCCGTTCTACCGGGGGCCCGGACCTATCCACGGGGGTCCCGGGCCCCATCCACCCAGGGGGCCCGGGCCCATTCTCCCAGGGGCCCGGGTCAATTCTCCCGGGGGCCCGGGCCCGTTCTCCGGGAGGCCCGGGTCCGTTCTCCAATCTCCCGGGGCCCCGGGCCCATTCTCCCGGGGGCCCGGACCCATCAACGGGGGGCCCGGGCCCCATCCACCCAGGAGGCCCTGGCCCCATCCACCCAGGAGGCCCGGGCCCGTTAACCCAGGGGCCCGGGTCAATTCTCCCGGGGGCCCGGGCCCGTTCTCCGGGAGGCCCGGGTCCGTTCTCCAATCTCCCGGGGCCCCGGGCCCGTTCTCCCGGGGGCCCGGGCCCCATCCACCCAGGAGGCCCGGGCCCGTTCTCCCAGGGGCCCGGATCAATTCTCCCGGGGGCCCGGGCCCGTTCTCCGGGAGGCCCGGGTCCGTTCTCCAATCTCCCGGGGCCCGTTCTCCCGGGGGCCCGGACCCATCAACGGGGGGGGGGGGCCCATCCACCCAGGAGGCCCGGGCCCGTTCTCCCAGGGGCCCGGGTCAATTCTCCCGGGGGCCCGGGCCCCCGTTCTCCGGGAGGCCCGGGTCCGTTCTCCAATCTCCCGGGGCCCGGACCCATCAACGGGGGGGGGGCCGGGCCCCATCCACCCAGGAGGCCCGGGCCCGTTCTCCCGGGGGCCCGGGCCCCGTCCACCTGGGGCCCCAGGCCGACCCCTCACCCGTGGTGTCCCAGTAGGCATTTCTCGAAGCGGGCTCGTCCGATTAGATTAGGGCCTCTCTCCTCCCTCTCCCTCTCTCTATCTCTCTCTCTCTCTCTCTCTCTCTCTCTCTCTCTCTCTCTCTCTCTCTCTCTCTCTCTCTCTCTCTCTCTCTCTCTCTCTCTCTCTCTCTCTCTCTCTCTCTCTCTCTCTCTCTCTCTCTCTCTCTCTCTCTCTCTCTCTCTCTCTCTCCTTCTCTCTCTTTCCTTCTCTCGAGCGGGCCCCTGACAGAAATTTCGGGGGGGTCAGCTGACCCTCTGACCCCCCCCCCCTGGCTGCGCCACTGCCTCTAACTGACCTCAGGTCAGTGACCTCAAAAAATCCGAACTATATGTTATACAACTCGGTGAACTTAGCACATTCTGAAAGTTTGAAGGAAATCAGTCCAAAACTGTGAGTTGGACAGGTGCAAAAAGAAAATTGAAATTTGACCATGACCTTGTACCGGTTTTCTGACCTGGTGACCTGACCCAAGGTCACTCGGACCTGAAATTTTCAGGTCATATGTAAAAAGGCTGCCCCATAGGCCGTGCCAAATTTGGCGGCGCTGCGCGCCGCCGTTTTTACGCTATCTTCGAAAAACCTTAGGGGGGGTCGCATCGACCCCCCTGCCAGGGCGAGGGTTAATCACCAAGCTTCTTTGCAAGTTCCAATACAGCTGAATCGCACGCGATTTGAGTGCAAAAATCAAGAGAAGTGCCAACTTGTTCCCGTACAATATTTTGAATATTGACCTATGGCCTTGATTGACCTAAAAAATGAGTAAGTTCCAGATAAAATAACAGCGAAATCAGTTTTCGCTTGCCAATAAAACTCACTGATATTGAAGCTCCACTATTAAAGGAACATTTTAGCATATGCTATTCTTGATGAAATTTCTTAGCCACGCAATACCAGCGCAAAATAAGGAGACACTGAAAACACGACCAATCACTTCGATTTACCATAGGTAAATACATACAAAATATATGTCTCAACTGCGCCAAATATACACACAGTTATATACCTACATGTGACGTCATGATTAGCCCGACCAATCAGAAGCAAGTTGTTTTCAGTCACAAATAATTAATTTCTGAGCTAACTAGGCATTTTTTAACGAAATGATTTTAAATTCAATCATGAAAAATTCTCAGCTTTCTTATTTTACCAAAACATACAGAGTGTGGAGATAGGTCCCAACCCTATTGTCGACACAAACAAACAAAATTCGATTCCATCATTCAATAAATCGTGCAGCGCTTCAACCAGCTCCTTGATGAGAGAATAATTTCATATATACATGGCTCTCGAAATAACGATGCACCGTCCATGATATCTACAATACATGTACAATATACAACACACAAGATCAATATACAATATACAATATAGAATCTGCATGAATCATCACATTGTTTGGCGCAGCCTAAATCAGCGGCACAATCAGACAGTTGTTGTCACACTCAATTTGTGGATGTGTACAATATTGAATAAAGTTTTGTGGGGGTGTACGATGGACGCTGCAGAAGTGGCCAGCATGAAGTTTGGGCGTTCAAACATGGTTTTTGGTTCCTTATTTCCACTGATTCGGATATTTTTAAATCAGCGACGTCTTTACACAGTGACGGGCCTAGGGTGTGTCGCAATTAAACTTTTTATTTCAAATCATGGTGCTCCTATGATTTTCTTTTGCTCCTTAGAAGGCCAGCTGTATAAGAAAAAGATCCTAGAAATAAAAACCCATCCTGCCGCATCATGTCAAAGTTTCGATGAAAATCAGTTTCTGGCGTTGAAGTCTCCACATACAACCCGATTTGTATTCCATTTTCTTGATATAAATGCCTTCGCTGACCAGTTTGGTGCCTAAAGGACCATTCTATGAACCACCCTAGGGGGTTTGTGGCGAATATTTGGAACACTTTTGGTGAGAAAATGTCCAAAATCAACATGGTTCTAAACGCATGCATCTGATAGTAGGAAGCTAACACCACAAAAGAGACATACTGAGCTTTAACACCTGTAATGTTGAGGCAATGTGGTGGCGGATCCAATAGAAGTCCTAAGGTTAAGGCACATGCTTGCTAAAACTTTTAAACATGATTCCCCCCCCCCCCCCCCAACACCACCACCGCCAAAAACATGCAGGCTAGGAACATGCAGGCATGCAGGCTAGGAAGGTATTGTTTCCAACCGACCTGCCCGACTAACAACGTCCGTCAAGTGACTATCATCGGCCGCCATTCCCGTTCATAAACGTTAGCTGCCGGTCATCATCCATCGCCAGTCCGTGGATCCGGCTTTGCAAATTACTGGAATGTGCCCCCCCCAACACACACACATCACGGTTAGATCCGCTTCTGAGGTAACGTGTTGGACGGTACTCGTCACGCGGTGCATGACGCTTCAACTAGTCCTTGTGCTTTGCATCAGATTATGGGTGAGTGTGCCCTGATTTAACCAATGTATACTTTCAGCCAATCAAAATCGTCCCACACCCATGCGATCATCTGATGTTTCGGATAATTGGATTATTTATTCAATAAACGCCTCACGCATACGACATATTTCAGGGACAGCATTTGCGAGTTAAGCGATTGCTTCAGAATGTACTAACTCAAACAGTGTAGTCAAATTCACCACTGGTGACCGACTGACAGCTCTCAGCACGTTGATACTTTTCGTCCATACCTGTTAGGCGGCTACAGCTGATATACAGCCGTGCCTCTGCTTCTCAGTGGCAACCGACTCAGCTAACCCCATCACGACCTTCACGGCCCCTTCATTCACGGCCCGCTCCTCTGCTACCGCATGAATGAGCTAGGAGCCCATCATCCGCGGCTCGTTTCGGTTGTCTTCATTTTCAGATTCGCTGTGATCTGTGAGTTTGGAAATGACTCGATGATCAGCCAGGTGCTCTTTTCCAGCAAGTCCTACAGCTCACTCAGTCAAAGCGAACCACACACTTGTCAGCTCATATCGCGCTCTTCTGGGCCGTGCAAAAGAAAGCTACGCTGTCAGTAACGCTGGAAGCGCACACCTGTGAGTTCTGTGGGCCAGAACTCACGAAGACTCACAAAGACACAGGGACTCACTGTTGCATCATCTACACTAGGGTTGTTAAAAAAAACGAATTTTGGAAAAGTACATATATGGGCTCATGGCTCATGTTGTGCGGTATTCTTTTCTGAGTCCAATGATACCCTTTTTTTCCGAAAAGTATTACTGCTAGGCGCTGCTCAAACGGCTTAAAGAGGACCATGTTACGCCCGCCGACCGGCCGGTGTCAATAAGGGCGAGAATTCGACGCCGCACGGCGGCGGCAGCGCCTTATCGGCACCGCGCGCCACGACATCTGCCGGGCGGCCGGCTGGGCGGTGGGAAGTTATAAGTGCGTGGTCTTATTGCACACGATCGGGGTGAGCTATCCCATGTTTTCGGGGCGGAAAGTTTCAGTGCAGCATCGGTGCGTCTGCCACGGTGGTCTGTGTCGATGGTATAGAAAATGACTCGAGCAGAGCTCAGAAAAGACTGAATGATTCCGGGTAGTTGCCTCGAAACAATCCGTTTTAAGAATACAGCTGCCTTCTTAACGTACTGTATCACTTGTTAATTCTTCAAAAAGTAAGCTCTGAGCAATAACAGACTTCTTTGCATTGCTGTTGACAATTTAAGTTGCTTTTTGACGGTGGCTCGCAGCCCCAATATGCTGCCGCGTAACTCTATTCCAACGACGAAACGGCAACTTAGCGAGATTCGAAAATTTAACGAAGTAGGTACAACAGGAGCTGGCAAGGCTCCTGCACTGGTCTATCCGTCATGAGTGACACACCGGGGTAATGTGTCACGTCAGGGCAGAGCTGTGTTCTATGCCGGGTCTGGATTCGGGTCTTGATCGGCATCGGTGGGCACGGCCGCCCTGGCCGGACTGCCGGCGTCGCTTATGCTCGAAGGATTGGATAAACGGCGCTTGATTTATATGAGTAGGTACTCCGGCTAATGTCTCTACTCATGCCTCACTTCGTCACACTGTCAGGGTGGCCACCCTGTCACTCCCAGACATGTTATGTTTTCTTTCGACCCGCTAATCTAAGTTAAACCTGGCGTCGATTCTGTTGCCCCAGCATCTGACATCAACGTATCTGAATAATGACATTGGTGACGCCTATGCTCGTCAAAGCCACCCCCAAACTTGGGCCGATGACTGTCGGGTATCCTCCATATTCTGTCCTTGTGCATACTGCATTGCCAGCCCCTGCTGTACGTATATCGTGAATTTTCGATTCTCGCGAAGTTGCCGTTTCGCCGTTGGAATAAAGTTGGGCGGCAGCATATTGGGGGTGCGAGCCACCGTCAAAACCTAACGTAAATTGTCAACAGCAATGCAAAGAGGTGTGTTATTGCTCAGAGTTTGCTTTTTGAAGAATTAACAAGTGATACGGTACGTTAAGAAGGCAGCTGTATTCTTAAAACGGATTGCTTCGAGGCAACTATCCGGAATCATTCAGTCTTTTCTGAGCTCTGCTTGAGTTATTTTCTATACCATCGACACAGACCACCGTGGCAGACGCACCGATGCTGCACTGAAACTTTCCGCCCCGAAAACATGGGATAGCTCACCCCGATCGTGTGCAATAACACCACGCACTTATAACTTCCCACCGCCCAGCCGGCCGCCCGGCAGATATCGTAGAGCGCGGTGCCGATAAGGCGCTGCCGCCGGCGCGCGGCGTCGAGTTCTCGCCCTTATTGACACAGGCCGGTCGGTGGGCGTAACATGGTCCTCTTTAAGCCGTTTGAGGAGCCCATAACAGTTAATACTTTTCAGAAAAAAAGGCTTCATTGGTCTCAGAAAAGAATACCGCACCACATGAGCCATGAGCCCATATACTTTTCCAAAATTCGGTTTTTTTTAACAACCCTAATCTACACCTACAGGCTGCACAGAACGTTTCCGACGCCGTGGACGACGACGCTGCTTTCGGTGGTCGTTCACGATTGTCCGATGCGGTTCCGCATACAGAGCGAAAGTTAACCCTCGCCCATGTAGGGGGGGGGGGGTTGGTACAACCCCCCCCTGAGGCTTTTCGGAAATAGTGCAAAAACGGCGGCGCGCAGCGCCGCCAAATTTTGGGTACCTTATGGGGCAAACCTTGCGCATCTTTTGATAAAAAAAAATTGACCGGGTCATGTCAGGTCACGGAGTTATGACGTCACAAAGGGAACAGCCTCCGGCCGGATTTTCACAAACTGAGTGCCAACGCCCGAGGTTTCCTGCCAGTGGTACGGACATCGGTTGATGGATCGTGATGAAACTTCCCATGCATGTTGGGGCAAGTATTGGCTATCATATGGTATAAGAAACTTGACCGGGTCAGGTCAGGTCACGGAGCTATGACGTCACAAGAGGAACAGCGTCCGGTACTATTTTTGAAAAGCGCCCGAACCACTATTTTGCTAATTCTTGTCACCTTAATGGGAATATGCAGCAATATTAGCTTCTATAGGGAGCAAATGGACCTCCCAAATCCAAAAATACAATCAGATTTCAAAAATTTAAATTTTGATTTTTCGAATTTCTGCCGCCGACTGTGACCTTGCCGACTTCCGGCGCTCCCAACGCGCCATTTTTAGAGCTAGGGAAACGAAATACATACCAAACGATAGAGAATTGATCAAGGAACACGATAGTGAAGGTTTCAAGTCGATATCTCCCACCGTTTTGCCGCAATCGCCGCGGAAAGTTGAAAAAGGTCTATTTTTCCGAAAATTTGACCTTTGACCGGTCAAAAGTAGGTCAAATGTTGACCTAGGACCAAAAAATATACCACCAATCGCGAGATCTCGGTGAGAGCAATCCGTTGGTCTTTTCCGCTAAGCTCTACGACGCTCCGTTTTCAAACGCCAAGGGGGGGTCGCACCAACCCCCCCCCCCCCTGCATGGGCGAAGGTGGCAGATCGCCGTTTACGGGCGAGGGTTAAGACAGTTGACGAGCTACGGCATGCTAAATATAAGGCTACCGACTCTGAAGTCTGAATTCAATTGCTGTACCTACCTGTCGGTCGCTACTGATCAAGGAAGCTACACACACGGTGTTGCTACAGAAACTGTTTAAAGTGTTAGAAACTTCCTGTCTTGCCGGGAGGTGCAGTCCGGACTCTGGCGAAGAACCTACGCACATAAGCTCCTACTGTTAATAGCACAGCGTAACTTCTTACTGGGTTCATCTTGCTATGGTGCTGTTCTGCTCGCAATCCCCGCACAGGTTTGCATTTCGGCCGTTCAGGTGTCACCGCTAGACGCTAGGGCAGAAGCCGCACGGTCTCAGAAGTACGGAATATAAGGAAGCGAGTGTGGACTTCGCTGTAACTTTTTTGAAAATGTAAGAAAGCGGCGCTTCACCACTCACCGAGCTACCTCCCAAGACGATCAGCGGCTCGGCGTCTATTCCGTCTACACGGCGGCATAGGAGCGGTTCGTAAACGTAAGGGGGCGGGGGTAGCTGGGTCAGTCGTCGGGCGAGCAGTAGACGCGGCGGTATCTGAAACCGCCTCACACGTCGACTAAATGTTCCCGAACGTTTGAAAGAAGTTGGCGATTGGCGACTACTGTTGCATTGAGCTAGTGATGCTACAAATATTTGGCTCGCAAATGCTGTCCCTGAAATATGTTATGTGCGTGAGGGTGAATAAATGCACCAATCGTCCGATGATTATACATAATCATTGTTGTCCCAGACCCATCATGTATGGGTCTGGGACAACAAATATAGTAATTAAATCATGGTACACCTCCCACATTCGGATATAAAGCACAAGTACGAACTAACTAAGAGTTTAATCGCCATGCATCGCGTGACGAGTATCCACCGTCCAACACGTTACCTGAGAAGCGGATCTAAGCGTAATGTGTGTGTGTGTGGGGGGGGGGGGGAGGCACATTCTAATAATTTGCAAAGCCGGATCCACGGACTGGCGATGGATGATGACCGGCAGCTAACGTTTATGAACGGGAATGGCGGCCGATGATAGTCACTTGACGGACGTTGTTAATCGGGCAGGTCGGTTGGAAACAATAAATACCCAAGCCCAATGCCTAATACCAAAGTTTTTAGGGGTGGTGGTGTTGGAGGGGGGAATCATGTTTAAAAGTTAAGCAAGCATGTGCCTTAACCTTAAGACTCCTATCGGATCTGCCACCACATTGCCTCAACATTACACCTGTGTCAAGCTCAATATGTCTATTTTTTGGTGTTATCTTCCTACTTCCAAATGCATGCGCCTAAAACCATGTCAATTTGGGAAATTTATGCTCCAAAAAAGTACAAACTATTCAACGAAAACCCTTTCATGTGGTTCCTAGGTTACTCCCTGGCATAGAATACCACTCACCAAAGACATTTATATCACGAAAATAAAAGAATAAACAGGCCGTATCAGGAGACTTCAACGCCAGAAACTGATTTTGCTCGAAACTTTGACATGACGCGGCAGGATGGGTTTAATTTCTAGAAAGTTTTACTTGTACAGCTGGTCTTCGGTTGTCTTGGAGCAAAGGAAAATCATAGGAGCACCGTGATCTGTGACTAGCGACACACCAATACACACTCTTTCAATGGAGATTTTGAATGACGATGATGTGATTGTGCCGGGATGTCTTTGGGTAACGTGATCGCCAAGAGGGGTGTTTTTTGCCTTGTTCTTAGCGTCACGAAAGTGTTCATTGAATATGTCACGGATGCGTCTTTTTGTTTCGCCAATGTAAATCACATTTTTATTGTCACAAAAATTATATTGAACATTCAGATGGGTACCTAATTTAACGTAAATTCAACCCAAATTTAAGTTTCCGAACTGTTCTGCATCGTGAATTTTGCCATGCATGGCTTAAATTATTAATGAGGTTCAACACTTCGTAATTCAAATAATTATAAATTTGAATTTGATTCACCACTGGTCCATGATCCATTCAATATTCTTCATGGCTATATCACTTTGAAGTTTCATTACCAAAGCCTTTTTGAGCCACAAGTAGGACGAACTTTACTTCATTTAAAAAAAAAAAAAAAAATTGCTTGAAAAATGTTAGGTCGAAAAAGGCACACAAATACAGCCATAAACACTTTTGCGTAATTATCGAAACTTGCGCGCAATGTCTGTAGCACATTGGTTCACCATAACTTGAAGCGACTTGTGGTTCGCTACATTCCCACAAGGTGGCTTTGTGTTGTATATGACGTCACTACCGTAAATTACGTCATCATTTTGAAAACAGTTTTTCATCATTTTCATTAAAATTCGGCCAATTAACCCGGCAGTTGCTGGGGTATTTCGCCACCCACCGTTTGCTGGGGGGGGGGGGGCGTTAAACGCCCCCAGCCGATAACTCGAGAACCAATAGGCGCAGCGAAACGCACGAGGCGGCAAATGAAAGAGCGCGACGAGACGCTTCAGATGAGTACTTTAAAGTTGAATTTTGAGGTCACAGGTCGGGTCAAGGTCAGGTCAAACACCTGAAATCGGGCTTTCAGTAGCATGGACTTCAGGACTTCGCAATGGGCGCCTCTCGCCATAAACTCTGTCAAAACGGTGCACAATCCATCTTATAAGGCCTACAAGAGTGTCAGCTCCATGTAGGGGTCAGTCAAGCATAGGTCAGGGTCAAGGTCAGGTCAACCGGGTAGGCACATATCCCCGAAAATCAAAACTGATATTCGCAGCCTGTGACACATGTTTTATAGGTAATTTGGGGCGTAGAACACGATGGTGACATTCATTTTATCATATGTGTACGTGTTTGGCTCAAAAAGTTCAATTTAATAAATTCATGTATCATGGTCGTGAAGTAGTCACGAAAAATTGCCAAGATTCAGTTCAAGATTATGGAAAATGCGGAACGATAATCAATAATCGAAGATAGCCATTTGATTGATCATGGTATTGGCAGTCTAATGGCGTTTACGGCATGTCTGTATGTCTATTCTGTGATTTTATATGATTTTTTGAACATATGCCATTTTTGGTCGAAAACTCAGAAATCATGACGTCACTAAAACCTCGATATCTCAAAATTTTCCGACCGATTTTTTTGAAACTTTGTCACAATAACCTTCAATCAATTCCCTACAGGTACCCAAAATTTGGCGCGCCTGCGGCGCGCCGTTTTTATGCTATGGCCCGGCGAAAAAAGTGGGGGCGTTTAACGCCCCCCCAGCAACTCGCGGGTTAATGGCATGTAGCTACCCATTGAGGTATTATCAGCCATTTTCAAGTATTTTGGAACCATCCACTCCCCTTTTTCAAGGTGAACACATCCCTTTAAGCCAATGGGCACATAGGGAAAGTATTCGAGTAGGCCGACGAAAGTAGCGACTGGCACTCGGATCGAATTTTGGGGGGTTATATTTTAATGACAGACGAGGCATTATACACGTATGGCGACCGGCGCGGGAGCCCGTCGGTGGCCTCTATCGTGACCTCTATCGTGCGTGCGCAGGTCGCCACGGCCGGGCGCTGCTGGAGCACGCCACTGCCAACACGATCCCGCCAGTGGGGCGCACCTGCATCACGCACTGCCTCACGCCGGCCGGACGGGTGATGGCCGAGCTCACGCTGACCACGCTGGACGACCATCGCTTCCTCATCGTCACCGGCGCCGGCAGCGAGCTCCACGACCTCAGGTCAGTCGCCGGCAGGCTTCCGACCTCAGGTCAGTCGCCGGCAGGCCCTCGACCTCAGGTCAGTCGCCGGCAGGCCCTCGACCTCAGGTCAGTCGCCGGCAGGCCCTCGACCTCAGGTCAGTCGCCGGCAGGCCCTCGACCTCAGGTCAGTCGCCGGCAGGCCCTCGACCTCAGGTCAGTCGCCGGCAGGCTCCCGACCTCAGGTCAGTCGCCGGCAGGCCCTCGACCTCAGGTCAGTCGCCGGCAGGCCCTCGACCTCAGGTCAGTCGCCGGCAGGCCCTCGACCTCAGGTCAGTCGCCGGCAGGCCCTCGACCTCAGGTCAGTCGCCGGCAGGCCCTCGACCTCAGGTCAGTCGCCGGCAGGCCCTCGACCTCAGGTCAGTCGCCGGCAGGCCCTCGACCTCAGGTCAGTCGCCGGCAGGCTCCCGACCTCAGGTCAGTCGCCGGCAGGCCCTCGACCTCAGGTCAGTCGCCGGCAGGCCCTCGACCTCAGGTCAGTCGCCGGCAGGCCCTCGACCTCAGGTCAGTCGCCGGCAGGCCCTCGACCTCAGGTCAGTCGCCGGCAGGCCCTCGACCTCAGGTCAGTCGCCGGCAGCTGCTCCCTGGGTCAGTGGCGGCGGACAGCTGGGTCGGTGGCGGCGTACAGCTGGGTGGGTGGCTAGGCTACTCCATAAGCTTGATCCATTCATCTTTCCCGTACGTCATACACAGGGGAGGAGTATTAGGGGTTTTGGGGCGCTCGAACACCTCCTGAGCAATAAAAGTGCAGCCCCTTTCTGCCAAAAGCACCTTCTGGGATAATGGGATATGCAAGTCTACACAAAAATAATATTGCACATTCTAAGCTTAATTAAAATATATAAATAGCATGTCATTTTTAATCAGTAGGAAACATGAACTGTGTGAAGCATTATAAGCACGCACCCGCTGATTATCACAGTCATAATATGCATGATGATTCAACCCTCGCCCTGGCAGGGCATTTTTCATACCACGGCCTGGCAAGGGGGGGGGGGGGTCGATGCGACCCCCCTCGCGATTGGCTCCTATGGCACCTAGAAACACCAAATTTGGTAGGTGTACCCCCTGGATTTCTCGCCCCTGTGCAAATTTGGTTGCTCTCGGTCAATATTTAGGGAGTTTTTTTTTTTGGGGGGGGGGGTATTAATGTAAAAATTTCGCTAAAAACAGGTCAAAAGTTTTTCGCTTATAACGTTTGATCTAATTAATATGAGCAAAACAAGTTTAATTGTTTTTTGAATGACCTTACAAAATTATACTTTCATTCATGTATTTTTGTTTTAGATGAATTTTCGGCCACGGGCCATGATCACATCAATGCCAAATATAAGAATATTGGAAGACAAAATACAAATTAGGTACAAGTCGAATCATCGTCACTTTCTATCTTTCTACTTTTCGCGTGATAAGAATGACAGGCACTTTCACACTTGGTAATGGGTACACTCAAGTAATGGTTACATTCGCACATATCTGCATGGAAACATGAAAAAACACACTTAACCTCATCCTATCACTATAAAGGTAATGACGTGAGCAAAAAAAAAAAGCACCATTGAACTCAGCACGTCAAAGCGCGTCGAATGATATACTTTTTTTTGCATGTTTAAGTGTATGTACTTAAAAGTTAAGCACATCTTAAGTACAACTTAAGTCCTAACCTTCCAGGCGGTGGGGGGGGGGCCTCAGTATATACATTTGTCTCTTGCTGCTCAAATTAGTGTATGTTGTACATATAAGGTTAATAGCACAGACTGATAATTTTCTGCCAGGCTACCTTGCGGTCAGCTATTTATGTTCAGTCGGTCAAATGTTCATTCAGTCATTCATGTTCATTCAGTCAAATTTTCCGGTCAGGTATTCAATCTTAACTTATTAGGCCAAATTGTATATTATCTTTCAGGTTTTCATTCTGAGAGTACAGAGTATTTATCTAAACGCTAGAAAGACGATGATGCGTAAGCCGTAATGTCAATATCGGAAACGCCTTTGGTAAGAAATTTGCACAGAAAAAAAGTTTGATAAAAATTCGTCCATTTTTGGAGGACTGAGACATCGAGTTAAGGTCAAACTGGAGAAAACAGCTACGAGCCAAAAATGGCCAAAAATTGGCCTGACCTAAAAATGGCTTAGCTATTTGTTTTAGATTTGGCATCCTTTCGAACATTGCCAAAGCATTACTCGAGTAAAATTTTATCATTTTGACGACCTTTCGAACACCGCATGGCCCAGAAGTCAAGCTGGAAGCTCAAGGGGAGATCGAACAACACCTAATCCGGCTCTTGTTACGGCCGGGCCACCGCCCGGACGTGGAGAAATAAACCATTAAGTTATTCCCTGGCATTACAGTGTAGGTTGAGCTGTCCCTGTATATTGAGAGTCGATACACGAAGTGCTTATGACGAGGACCTAACCTTTTGCTATATACTTCAGCTTAAAGGTAGTGTGCCAGCTTTCCTGGACCATATGTAGTTAATGACCCGGATAAGGAGAACCGGATTTTGAGAACTTATCCATACCTTCAAAACTCATGGAAACGTCTTAATTTTTTTTTTCTTCAAATTTTGAGCACCCCAGAGCGAAATTCGCCCCGACGGGTTGTCGGTCGTACCCCAACCACATTTCACACCACTACGAACAATAAATGCACACACTAAAATCGCTATTACCGATAGGCTCATCCAATCAAGTTTCGATAAACCCGTTCATCATCATCTCCTGCGGTTTCGAACACGCCTGTTAGGTGGCTTCTGCTCATACTTTGTGGTGCGGTGGTGGTGCGTTGGGCCGCGCGCTCTGACTTCGGCCAAGAAAAATGCGTCAGCTGATCATTGTCATTTCTGCCACTTTCGTGCGGTGAGATGGGTTCATAACTTAAGAGACGGCTGTTTAATATCAATTATTTTACATAAAATCATATTTCAAACCATAAATTAATGTTCGACAGCCAAAATAACTCTCGCATGTGTAGGGGGGGGGGGTCGGATGGACCCCCCAGGGGTGTCGATTTGTGAAAATGGTTGGGGGTGCCCAGAGCTTTAATCCTCGCCCGTATACATTGGGGGGGGGGGGTCCGTTCGACCCCCCCCCCCTCGGTTTTTCGCGAATAACTCGCGTAAAAAGCGGCCGATCACGACGAAACTTTCAGGAGTACCCTCGCGTTGATCAATTTTAAACCTGCCCTTGAAATTTCATGACCCTAACCCAAATGACCTTTGACCTGTGAACTACTTTTCGAGACCATGTTTGGCCGGAATCGCGATTTTGCGTATGTTGGCTCGCATTAGCCGCGCGTTTGCAGTCTTTTCGTGGTTTCAAGCGTTCAAACATGTTATATGATGTTGCTCCCATGCATAAGGGTGGGTGTCAAGGTCACCTGAAGGTCAGGTCAGGTCATTGACCTTTGGGGCCCTCGGTTCATTTTTTCGAGTTTTACATGTTTCTAGGCTAGTTTTTGGAGCTGAATTCGAATTTAGCAACCATATAAACATTTACGAAGTAGTTTTGGTGCCTTCATAACATGCTACGAAGCTGTCAGAGGCGGTTGACACCTACTACGAATACCCGGTAGGACCCCTACTGGTTGACCTGACCCGTCCTGACCCCACCTGGCCTAAATGCATGACAACATCATCTGTAATCAAAACTAACATAATGTTCGTGATCTGCACCCCGAAAAAACCATACCTAGCAGCCACACTTTACGACGTTCTAACAGGTCCCGATTTTCCCGACCTTTGGGTCATTGACCTGACCTGGAAGGTCAACCAATAACCTAGGACCTTAAAATTGGGTATCATCGGCTTCCCCACGTCACGGGCAACACGCTCGTTTTTTCCGCGAAGCTCTAGCTCGATCAGGGGCGAAACGGCAAGGGGTTCAACGTACCCCCCCCCCCCTCTTATACGTTCGCGGCTGGAAAAACACCAATACGGGCGAGGGTTAAGGCAGACCTCATATGCTATTCTTTTAGATAAAACTGCATTGTGTTAGTATCAGGGCCTCGGATAACATGGTAACATGGGTGGGCAATCGCCCACCGCCCACCCAGTAGCTTTTTTTGCCCACCCAGTGGAGTGTGTTTGCCCACCCAGTAAAGACGGAGACGGAGCAGTTTTACCCGCGCTGGGCCGGTGCTCAGCGCCTTCCGCGCCGGGCCGGGTGTGTGTGTCTGAACACCCCCGTCTAACTCGGCTCCTGGGCCACTTAGCGGCATGCGGTAGGCGGCATTGGAAAGACAGTTAAAATGAACAGAATACTTGGTCTTCATAAGGTCATGTCAAAGCTCAGGTGGCCAGAGGTCATAAAAGGTCAAGTTTGGATTGTTTGAACAATTTTCGAAAACCTGGCGCATAATTTGGGAACTTATAGAGCTGCAGCGCCGCGGAAAAGCGCATTCGATAGCTCTTTCAGCGCTCTTTGGCCAAAGCAGTCCTCAGATTTGACCTCAGGTCAACGGCTTAGCATAAACTCTCCAGAGGGCAAAAACTCTAATAATAGCCACTCATGAAGTTTTTTTTTCTGCCATAGCTTTTTACTCGAGAAAGTCATGACATTATTTTGCTAGCCATCATGATCTTCTTATCAAGACCCGTCGAATAAACTATAGTTTGACCTTGAAAGTTCATTTTGAAATTTGACCCCGGGTCCGAGTTCAAGACCTGACCGGAAAAGGTTATGTTGCATGTCAGTGGATCCGTTCAGTCAATTATCGCTCTAGCTTGCGCCTACCAGAAGTTATTAACGAAAAACTGTTAGGCTCCCTTTTGTGACCTGAGATGACTTCAGGGATACTAGGAAGGGTCACGTCATTTTCACGTCGGGTGTCATTTTCCAGTTCAGTGTGTCATGTTGAATTGTTAATAGGTGTTTGGATGTGTTCAGAATGGTGTCGGCACACCAAATAGAAAGCAGCCTAGGGTACTCTCAAATCTAGTTTTCTCGCCGGTTTTAGGCCATTTATTTTTCACCCTTGGCTT